TCTATATATATATATATATATATAACATTGTATAATTAGACATCATCTTGCACCTGCAAGAATGGACGAACTTGCAGGGAAGAGTTGCAAATAGAGTCATGATTAGCGTAACACATTAGACATGTTAATAAATATAATCTACGGTATATCTCAATAATGAAATAAAATTTAACGAAACTAATTCGGAGAAGTTTCAATTTCGGTTTTTTGTGATAAGTTAGTATTGTTTATCTATTTCCTAATTACCTAATTTAATTTGTAAAATAATATATATTGACATATTTATTTTCTGTTACATCATTTTCTGTTTCTCGTTTCTCTTATTCATTAATTGTCATTTATTGTTTGTTAATATATCAATTAAGAATTCGAGAATTAATCGATTGTTTTATAAATAAAAGCCTTTGTCATAAATTAAGTTTTATATCTAAAAATATATATCCAGCGTTTTATATATACATGACTCTGTTTGCAAGCAATTTTTTGAGCGATCGTCGCGTCATTTCGATGTTTTCGGGAGACAATTTTTGAGAGTGTCGAAAAGAATCGGCGAGACGCCGCATCGTCCTGTATATAAAAATTGGTGAAAAGCAAAATGGAGAATGAAAAAAAAAACGACTGGGCTCGACGCCAACATAATCGATCGATCCGGGCGTTGCTGTGCAATCTCATGACTCTCCAATAATCTCGTAGCATTAATAATCGACATTACCTTACGAACGAAATACGATGAGTGTAAAATGTTGTACAGTAGGCGAGTAGAGTATTACGGAACAGTAGTAAGCGATCCTGATGAATGATACCAATCTCAGCTTGTGAATCTGCTAAGTTACGTTACGCAATGTATGACATTTAATATATATATATATATATTATATATAAATAAAAAAATGGTTACGCATGTCCGCGAAAATCGCACCCGCGTTTGCGATAATAACGTGAATGCGTCGATAAATATCCATTGGGAGAATTTAAAGTACATGTAATACACCATAAAATATGAATTTACAGCGAGATCTATTCTTGATGAATTATCTTTTAATAAAAATTCATTACTAGCTATTATTTATCTATCTTTGAAGAAAGAGAAAGAGATAGCCGAAAGGGAAAAAAAAATTTAATATATTGAATTTAATTTTAGAATTCAAAATAATTAGAATATTTAATAATTATGCTTTATAATAAGAAATATAATAAATTTTTTAGTATTTTATGGGTTATCAAATTTTTGATATAATATAGTTTAATATGTATATAACATGAATCTAAAAAAATCTTTACGGATCAAGTTACAAAATTTTATTAATTTTTTAAGTTATTAGGAATCAATCGGAAAGATCTATTTATTTTTCATGACAAATATGTATATATATATATATATGATTTTGTAAATTTAATATTCCTATTTAAATAATGATAAAGGAAGGATTGACTTCTCATGTTTATCGAGAAAAACACTTAAAATTTCGAGATAAGAAATATTTTCTAAAAACCTGGGATATCTTGTATATATATTGCAGCGAACGCAATTTGACGACAAAAAGACGATCCCCAAATGACTTTTTCGCTTAGCATTATCACCATGGATTTTTATCGGCGCACTCGGATCCGTGCACCCCAAAATCAAAAGCGTCATACGTGCTCGCGAAGCGGAACGAGCCACCCCTTCGTCGCAGGGCGCGTGTAAATGTAATATAAATTAGAATTAAGGCCAGTGTTACGTGTATACGCAATGTACTACTCATATCATACGACGAGCTCGTTAATTAATTAAAAAGGAAAAAAACATAATGAAAAAATACCGATAGTTGTCCGCGCGACGAATTCCACGGCGCAAAAGAGAGAGAGAGAGAAAGAGAAAGAGAAAATGAGTGTATGAGAGACTTCGAGAAGCGAAATCGTGAAGAGCATGCATTTCTTGCAAGAGACAAATAATCTCGTTGAGATTATCTCGTCTCACATTGACTGGATTTATTCCCTTCTCTCCCCTTCCTCCCTCGATCATTATAGATTTTGAGATAATTTCCTTCGAGCGACGAAACTTTTTGTTGAACGTTATGTTGTTAATCGCGTATCGTATGTGTGTGCGAATGCATGCGTGTGTATGAGAGTGACGAAAACGATTTGTAAATCCACGCAACTGGTACTTCCAACAACTTGTTATAATACGCTATAAATCTGGTGTATATCATTACATGCCATATCCACGACGACGAAGTACATTCTTTCTTCAAACACAGGCACATCCCCCGCAACATTCTCCCGGGGATCGATCGCTTAAGCTTCTCCTGGAAGCGGATCCTTTCGCGAACTAGACAAAACCTCGTAGTTCCTTCTCAATTTTTACAATTACGTTCAATCAATGATTTCTCTATCTTTTGATTCGTGTTATAAAATAGATCGTGAAATTAGATTGAATTAAACTTTGATTTGAAACGACGAAAAGTATTTTTTTTCGTTGATTTTACGTGATCGATCCCCTCTCTAAGCTTACTTCTTTTTGCTGTTCTTATTTTGATAAACGGATTTTACACGCGAGATATATATCTATAGAAGAAAAGTCTGTAATAAATATATATAAACATACAAATAAAACTTTATGCCATTTACAATTCACTTTTTTTTGCAAAGAAAAACACGAAGGAAAACTAAAATGTAAGCTAAAAGGATTGTTTATTAGGAAATACATATTCAACAAGATATTTGATATATACATCTAGAAATATGCGAAGATACATGTTAACGAGTATTCAACAGAATTCAGTCACATGCATTACATTAAATTAGTGCATACTATAAAAGGTACTATACATGAAATCAGCAAATGTAAAAGTACATAAATATTTAAAACGATTAAACATTTAATATTGTTATTAAGAATATACATGTATTATTTCACTGTAATATTATAGATTATATTATGCATTTAGATATTTTACATAAAGTAGCCTTTAATATGCATTATCCAGTGTAGTGCGACTGACCGAATTCACCATGAATTCATTCCTTTTTTGTTTCCTAGTTTGAAAAATTTTCAGATTATGGATAGATGTCTTAATCATTTATTGACAATGTATGGAATTTCTCTTCCGTCCTTTCGTCATCTGATGTTTCTTCATTAGAAGATATTTCATCTTCATCTGACATACTCTCCAAATCGCTGTGTGAACTAATGCTCTCTTCGTTTCTTTTGCGAAATAGAACATCAAAAATATCTTTAGTTCTTCTATATTCATAACATTCATTGTCGTCGTTGAAAATATCGAGATAATCACTCAATGATGATTCAGATCTACGATCAGGATCTGTATCGGGATAATCATTTCTCCAATTTGATTCTGCATTAGAATCCGAAGATTGATCATCTTGTTCAAACTCTACTGAATCTAAGTAATCTGGTCGTAGTACCAATATATTATTCTCATCATTTTCAAACCACTCCTTACAAGTTTGTGCACAATACAAATCATATACATAATTGTGAAGCTCCTCCTGAAACATATATCTTGTATTATATATCTGTTCATACATTCTATATACATATAAATTTTACTTAGTTCAAATACTAATTTTATTTTTAATTTATATCATACACACATTATAAAAAATATTTTATTTTTGCCTTGTCTCTTATTTGTCTCTGCATTCATTTTTAATATATAAAACTAATATATGAAGTACTTTTCTTTATTATTCTTTATTATTATCAATACAATATACATATATATAAAATAGCTGCCAAAGTTAATAATTTTATTGTATTGACAAAATAAAGAATAAATAAAAATCTAAAGCCGGTTTTTCTTCGAAGAAAGTTCTGGTGCAATAAGTTGAAATAAAACAAACTTTACTTATTTCACTCCAATTTATAGTAGTAGTGTATACTAATTACTTCAAGAACGAATAGGCCTATAGTATAGAAGTACTTAATATATTCTAATAATAATATATAAAACAAGGTCTACTTGACAAGGACCTTTAACTCCATTGTATATCGTAAATACCAGTAAGTGAGTTTTTTTACACAAAAAATTTTGATTGTCATGACTTGCCTCTGGAACATCCTTCACTTGCTCTTCTGTTGTCTGACAATGAACACTAAAGAGGTCTTCCACATCTATGAGTACCATATTCATATCCTTAAACTCTGGATCATTCGATGTATCTAGTGATTGGTAATCAGTAACTTTGTATCTGTCATCTATCCATTTAGGTATTTTTCCAGAAATATTTGCAGGATAATCACTATCAGACACTCTCTTGACACTAGCTTTGAGATTTTCCTTGTCCAGAAACTTACCCACGTGCTTTGTGACATTTTCGGTCTAAAATATTCAATATATCTTTTAAGTTTTTCAATAAATCTGTTTCTTTCTTTTCCTTCCTTTTTTTCCTTTCTTTTTTGCTGATATAATTTTCTTAAGAGTCGACAGGCTAGAACTCTAGATTTAAAATACATTTTACAATGAGTCTAAATTTAATTTTATATACCTAGAGCTCTATGACAGGATAGTATTTTTATAATAATAGTAACAACAATAATAACAATATATGTATATATATCTAATCATATACATATATATTATTATTATATAATATATATTATATTATAATTATGTATTTTTATTATGCTTAAAGTTATAATTATAATAATTATTACAGGAACTGGACGACAAGAAAGACTATTTAATGACCTCTGTCGAAGATAAATTTTTTTATGCTGAAACTATGATTAAAGTATTAAGAAAGTTACTGTAATTACAATATTCATAATCAGGAAAGTCAAAGCACATACATAGTATATTTTTTTAAAAGATTGAAATAAAAATTTGTACTCTAATATCTTACTTAATCTTCTATATTGTTGCATTATACTTGAAGTGTAGATTTTATTATATTTTATTAAAAATTAAACTGTAAAACCGGTTCTGTACTCGTCTTTGTAGCTTCATAAACAAAGAAAAGTTTCAAGACACAATATTATTTCTAGGACATAAAATAATAATATAAAGACATGTATAGCTAAGAGACGAATTACTTTATTTATTATAACATTTTTAAAACCAAAATTATAAAATTCTACTTTTTAGCAGGTACCGTAGATTTGTAAAATATAAATAAATAAAAGAAGTTTCACGGCAGTGTTTCTTCTATGCGACAACATATGTATCTAAACTGCAAATGAGGTGTGAATCTGTGAATCAGTTGACTCATTTCTGCCGACCCTAAGTAAATTCTACAACAGTCTTTTTAAGATTCTAGAAGTTTCACAATTAACTGCAATATACCAACCTAACCTAAAATGTAATCTGTCAGTGAAGTATATCTTCAGAAGAAAATTTGCAATCAAATCGCAATTAATCGCATTAATCAAAATATATAAAACATCAGATTCTCACCGGATCTGTAAGGGTGCCAGCAAACTGAACAATGGTTTCCACAGGTGAGGTGTCCGAAATGGAGCCCTCAGTTTTTGAGCGTTTACATGCAATTACCAACGCGTCCAGTGGAGAATCGGTATTTTTTCGTTTTACACGTAAAATTGCAGCCATTTTCAACGCGAAATGTAATGTCAAGTCACAATAATCCACATTAATCTACGCACAATGCAATTTAAAATAAAAAGTAAACGTTCGTGATTTTCTCGGACTTGGGATGACTTGCTTATGCTTTGCTTTAACCTAACCTTCTTTGCAGTATGTCTGTAGGCTTAAACACAATAGGCACAGGCAATAGGCACAGTGAATAGGGATTAATGAACTGTCCAATCAGAACTCTGGGATATAATATCAAACTTATACATCAAAGCTCTGATTGGACAGCTCGTCATTTCCTGTTGCCTGATTGATTTTTCAGAAATATTCAATATTCAATTCAGAAATA